AGCAGTTTAATGAGTGACATGATATTCTGTTAAGTTGCAACATCTCTTCAGAGACACATCCGAGATGTTCTGTATTACTTAGTCACAATACATACGCAGACAACGTTCTCCCTCTGTGTAAGAGTTAGGCATCAAGCTTCAATTAAAAACCAATGCCTTAGGTATTTAAGTGCAAAAGGATCTTCCCTTTGAAGATCTTCCTCACTCTGCCTCCGTGAACATGTTGTAAAGTTCCCAATCTCCCACTTTAAAAATTACCTCCACATTTTTGCAACCGTTTTGCATATCCCCAGATATTTCCTGGAATTTTGGTAACATGCGTTTGGCTTCCTACAGCCATTTAAATGGGAATAGAGTGATTAAGAGATATCCCTAATGTCTGACTTCAAATCCGAACCAATATTTCTGTCCATGTGGCATAACAGTCCCAGATGCCTGGTCTTAATCATGTATCCAGGCGTCAGAACTGAAGCTCTGCTATTCAAGTTCTATACATGGGTACGTGCACATTAAGATATATCTTGAGTATAAAAAGCATTCTGCTATCTGGGTAGAAAAGTTAACAGACACATTTCTGTAGAACCTGCTACCACATGCCCAACACAGGAACCATGTCATTTTTCAACATTTTCTGAAGTAGTACACTTTTTAACATAGTTAGTGATCTGTGTGAAATGAAAGTAATTTTAAGATGTTCGTAGAATTCAAAATGCGTTAAAGACTTCTTTATTTTGAAAAGCCACAACTATGTTTCAACATGGATGCACTACAGATATGTACACCTGAACAGGTGAAAAATCCATAGTTATCTGTTACCCAAAAGTCTAGGCAGTTTTCCCTGCAAGACATTACTAAGCCAAAAATATTACCTCACTTGAACACATTCTTTTGCAAGCTACAACTACCACCTGTAGTTCCAATTACTTAAGACCTGCAATATTCAGCATGAAGAGTTAACATGGGTGTATAAACCTCATGTTAAAAGAGGTTTGGCATATTTACAGTATATTGAATTAGGCTGCCACATTGGCTCTATACAAGCTGCAGAAAAAGTGAAGCAGGAGGAGATGAATCAAGTGTGTGTGATTACACATACCATATGGATCAGAGGAAACGAGAGCAACAGCAGTAATATTGAGAGCATGAAACACTCACAGAAAGAGGCCACCTGTACAGTCAAATGCCATGGTAATCAGTGGGAAGAGTGGATGCAATAAATCACAAATCTCACATGGCATCATCTGAGAATCAATAGGAAATGTTTTGATGCGAGCGTGATTGGCGCCGTGTTCCATGTACACACATGATATTGTAATAGTAGAAATGGTCTTCTCTGATCTTTCCACAAGCATTATTCAGTTTGAACAAAGGAAACCTTGTTGGAGGCTACAGCTTTGCTAGACAACAGAACTGCCTTTAAGCATTAATGATAAGCAAACTAATATATTTCCCATCATATGAGTAAACAAAGATTTTCAATATGGTTGAACAGAAAAGTCTTTGTTAAAATCCACAGAATAAAAAAAGTACCCAAATGCAGACAGACAAAGCCCTGATCTTGAAGCAGCCCAAGCTCTGAAACATGCAATCTATCACGTAAGAGACAGAAGAGGTCAGCCATTAATTAACATCCAAATTAAAGCTTTTCAAGTAAGGGTCAAAACTTCCTTTGTTTTGACATTTAAATCACTGGCAATGCATTTCTCAGTTTAGTATGCACAACGCATCACCCAACGCCTTTATGTTAATTGCCTCAATTTTTCAAGTGCACTGTTTGATTCATTGTCAATTAAAAATACCCCCAAAAGCCAAGACTCATGTATGTTAAGTATAAACATGATTAATGTAACACAATTACATTTCCACATTTGATGAGTCTGATTAGGAACTTTCTATCAGCCTGGCATGACGAAGCATTGTCACTATCAGTGACCTGTCAAGCCTTGCCAAAGACAAGCTTGCTGATAGGGAAGCATTTCATGGCCACAAATATTTCAGAAAGGTGTAAAACCTGTAATTAAATGCTGCCAATTATCACCTTATCAAGAATGTAGCAGTCTTTATGATCTCGTCTGTTTGATTGCAGAAGATGGTCCTAGGTCTAAACTAAAAAAAGCCATAAGGAAGAAAAAATCCAGTAATGTCATTGCTTGTTAAAGTAATAATTATGTGGACAGACCCTCTAATATTTCCAGAAAGTGTCTCTATGAACCTTCTCCACTACATCAAGGGAACATCTGGTTTAAGAAAACAGCACCCAGGGAGAAGAACTGGGCAGACCACAAGTAGGAAAGCAACGCCTGATTTTGTTTGTGGTCATAGAAAACACAAGTTATATGGAGATAAAGGGGTCTGACGAGAAAAAAAGTCAAAATTAAGAAAAATAAATGACAAATTTAGGAAAATAAAATGATCCAAGTCTGGAAGTTGCTGTTAAGTGATACGCAATGGTAAAATAATAAAAAAAAAAAGCAGTTCAGCCTGAGCACAATGAGATAGAAGCTAAGAAATAGCAACAGAATCCCAATGAAACTAACGGGAAGGAGGGTATGCATACACAACTGGACCGATGTAATTTTTATGGCCAGCTTATAAGTAGTCTTTGATAAGAATTGGTACAAATCAGAATAAGAAATAAAATAAGATTCTGTACCCTCAAGTTTGGGCTTCTCCTCCTTCTTCCCATTAGTAAATGTAAAATATAATTAACATTGCCATATTTAGAAGTAATAAATACATAAGACCCGGCCATAACCTATATTTAATTACAAGGCAGATACTAGCAATGAAATGTACAGTAGGTCCTCATTTAAATTGAAAAATAAAAAAAGAAAAAGACTGTTTTATTGCACTTCAGAAAAGAATTAAGGAGCTCCTTGGCTTATCGAGGACTACAAAAGCAATCACTGCTATAGACCTGCTGTGCATATTCGCTCTATTAATTTACATAGCCCTGGTAAGCATCACATTGCAATGCAACTGCTAAATTACACCGCTCTTGGGTAATGGGTATAAAAAGATGCAAGAGCATGCAAAGTGTATTCAAACAGACAATTAAAAATATCAATTCTGTTGACAGCTAAAATGAAGAAACTGTGCAGAGGTTTAATGCTACTGCATGAAGGACATACTGTTTACGAGTGATTGAATTAACTAGAATCATGCATCGACAGTCTGCCTTTGTCAAACATTACATATTAGGCCAATTTAGTATCTGCTTATTAAAATAATTTAATTCCAAATACTGTTTTCAGGCATTTCTAAATCTCCTCCTGCTCTTCCCTCCTCCTCGCATTAATGATGGCATCTTAACTGCTGTGCTAGTTTCACACCAGTGTAATTTGCTGGGTCACCACAGAGCAGCCCAGTCAACTTTGGCTTAACCAACTCGTCCTTTAGGTGTTTGGGAGGACAAGCAGGAGGACAGCATGAGATCTGGCCAGACACGCTACAGCCTCAAAGTTCAGAAGCAGCCAAAGAATACAAAGATTATTTTTATTCAACTTAACACTAACTTGTTAATATGACTTTTCTTTACATAGGTCTTCCACTTTGCATGCTTATTAAGTCTGTCATACTTCCTATATTCTATGAATTTCTACTTTTAACCATGTAGGCATAACGTGTTCATCAACTCTTTAAAATAAGAATGTAAAAAAAAAATTGCCTAAAGAAATTAGAAGTTTGAAATCTTTCTTCTAAACTGAATAATAACCTTACATCTCTGTGAATAGCATTATTACTTAAGATCTAAATTTCCTCTGAAAATGCAACTAATTAACTTATCAAAATGCTTAGACTAAAAATGTTATCCTAAAGGTTTGCTCTAGCACCTGTTAAAGGCTGAATGACTTGAGAGAGTCATTTCAATAGACTCTGGCAACTAATTCTGACATTTCATTTTGAAAAGTTAGTGCTATTTTAGAACAAGCGTGCACAGATATTACACCTTCATCCAAACATGCATAACAGTGAAAATATATCAATATGTAGTAATAATATCTGGAGGGAACTGAGATGGGAAATGTGTGCATTTAATGAGCAATATTGCTTTGCACTTCTTGGTTTCACCAAACTATCACTATGTATCACATTGTAGGATCTAGATACTGTACATAGATGCTACGCAGTACTGTCTCATACTGCATACCTACAAGAATTCCTGGTTCAACAGCAAACAACCAAGCATGACAAAGAAACTATTAGTAATATGTATCACATATAAAAATGCTGGCATGTTTGGAAGTTGCAAAAATGGCAGCACTTAATATCTTTAAGTCTTCAAAAATCATTGACCATTGGATAAGGTACTACCTTAGTCTTGAAATCCCAAAGCCACAGAACTGAATAAACAAGTTGTAACACTTGCTCACTAAAGCACTTGAATGAACTAACACCAGGACTGAAAGACAGTTAAATCTCCTTCAGTTTAACGCTTTGAGTACACAATGCCAGATTGGATTTTATAATGGGACACCTGGTCATTGGAAATATTACTGAATATCCCAGTTGTATGACACATGTAGTAACAATTTGCTATCACTGACAATCACAAGCTTCATCCAGCCTCCTCTGAATTTCATGTAAAGACTTGGACTTGCACCGGCTTTGAATGAAGCTTCTAGGATATAAGCTTCTAAATCTGAGTTGCAGAGATGAATTAATAGTGAGATGTTGATAGGCAAGCCCTGATTTCCAAGATTACAGGAAAGACTATAAAAAAAAAACAGAGTAAATTTACTTTAAAAAAGTGGGTGATTCTAAGTTTTCACAATAATCATATTGTCCTAAATGATTATATATAGTATTTTGCCATGTCTAATACATGGAACAGAGTAAAGTCTGTAGAGAGATAGGATTAATGCAGGGGAACCCAGACAGAATCATGGCAATATTCAAAATCCTACATAAAAAAAAGCTTTCTGATAGGTGGCAGGAGTGATATGAATACATAAGCAATTCTGATTTTTGCACAATAGTAATATATGAAAATAACATACGGTTCAGGACTGGCTGGTCCTCTGTGAATTCAAATGGCTGTTCAATATAAAAAGCCTTTTGCCGGAATCCAGGGACACATTCTAAATCTTCAGCACATGCAAGCAGCAGAACCTGAGGAAAAAAAAAAAAAAGGAAATAGACTTTTAACATCCACTCATTCATCCATCACGTTGGCTTCCGGGAATGATACTGGGTTTAGGCTCAGTGTTCATAAAACAAAACATAGGGCTCCATGCTCATAAAACAAAATATCCATCATGCCACTTTCCCTTCAAATCTTGCTAAACAATTTTTTATGTAAGGTTTCTGCTTCTATATATGCGGGCTGGCATGGAAAATACAAAATAGTAGCTTTCAAGGTTAAGTTCAGTTCAGATTATCAATAAAGGATACTATTGGTCTTTGTGAAAACATAGGATGTAATGTTGCTCCTAAAATCACAGGTGAATACAGCTAGGCTTAAATACATGCTTAAATTAAGTACTCTTAAGTTGATTTAAATAATTGATAAATTATGGTCTGCAAACCTGGTTTCAGAAAGTTGATCACCAAATTACAGAAGGAATTCTTTATTCAAGAGTGAAGTTTCACATTATAGAAGTTTCCTTTATAAAACTTCTTTGCTAACAAATGTAAACTGTTGCCTTTTTTTTCTTCCTCTCTGAGCCACAGTTTGTCCATTTTCCCTGTAATCAAAAACTTGTTTACACCAAGGGAAGACTGAAAATGAAATGCGTGCATCATAGTGGAGGTGGAGCTGAAGGTTAAAGTTGAATACAGTTTGTGTCACTATTAGTATGTGGTCAGAGTTCCCTGTCACCACAGGAACACCTTAGCAAAGGAGGAAGCTTAAAAGCAAAATAAAATTGGTTGGAAATAGGTAGGATGCTAATCTCAGTCTCTGAAGGTTTATGTTCTACCCCTGAATAGAGACAACCACCTTGAAGGCTATTTTTCTTGGCAGCTTTTAAATGAGAGCAAGGGGGTAAGAATGTCCAAGAAAGATGCAGCAAGAAAAAAGATTGCTAAGAAGTTTAAAAGGTTAAAAAGAGAGGCAAAAGGAGGCAAGTTCAAGAGTAGGAAAAGCCAAATCTGTATTTTTCAACCTATATATGTGTAACCGCATTTTCAAAAGTACTTTCCGCTTCAGAGCCTCCAAAGATGTTTTTCAAAACCTGACTTTCAGCTGGTGTACGGAATACTCTGACCTCAACGTTATTATAGCCAATCTGCTGCTTGTTGGACAGCCAAAGAAAAAAAAAAAATCAGGGAGAGGGCACACATAGTGACCAAGAAAATGGTCAAGCAAATACAGTGGTTCTGCATTACATTCACTCTAAAATTCAAGTGGCCTTGCACAAAGGGGTTTATTTTCTCAATGCATTCTCAACACATGATTACAATTCTGCAAATACAGCCCTTCAGCTGTAACACAAGGGCAATTTCTCCCCGCACCACACAAGTGAATGCTGAAGCCTCCTTTCTCCTTCACCAGCTCAGGTGACAGACTGCACTCTCACTTCTCCCAACCCAACAGCAGCATCTCACACATTTCTCAGTTCTACCTCCACCACATTATCATCTAGGTATGCTGATCCTGATCCTAGGCAGGTGTCCTGCAAAATTTTAACATCTGCCTGTTTCCCTCAACCACCACTCATAGTCCATTCGCTAAATCAGAGCAATACATTATCTGCTTTCTCCCTTCATGCACTTCACACTCACTATAAGCTTTATATGATCCCATTTATAAAAACCAAAGGCAGCAATACCCCACCTGGTCTGCATTAGTTGTTCTTATTGAAACCAACTGCTGGATCATTTGTTTCATGTCACTGACATTTGCTATAAAAGCTTGGCTAGAAGTGCTAGCAGACTGTGAGAAACAGGCAGCGTATTTCATGATGATTAAGCTGGTGGTAGTCAAATGCAGCAGAAATGCCTTTGCCTTCCATCCTGACCTGCTTTGTGTTTGTCCCGTTGAAGAATTAACCAAGAAAGAAGAGAAAAACTTGAAGTAATACACCAAGCAAGGTGCAATACACTTGGACTACTATTCACTTCTATATATCCACGTAACTGCTGCCTTTCTTACAAAGGCTTAAAACCACAGTGCCTAATCCCTTATTCAATTATTGACATTGATATTGATATATTGGTTTTATTGGAGATTCTGGACTCTGTAGGGGTTGAGAATTGGACATGTCCCCTTTGGTCTTCCAGTATGAGACATCTGCAAATGTGAACTGACATATTCAGAGCCTGCCCTCGATATTGTACGTAAAACTTACTGATTCTAAAAAAAAAAGATATCCTGATATGCATTTAAATGGTCACATGCACAGAAAGACACACGTGCATTTCTTCACACATTTTCTGTGTGCACAGGTGCATTTTTAAAGTACCTGTCTTTCTGACTCATGGTGTTACTGAATGAATAAGCATAAAAATGCAATCACAGCAGAAGGAAAATTCTTCCAGCCTCAAGATGCAAGCAAAGTTATATAACAAGTCCACACCAGAAAAATAGCCCAAGCAATATATGCTGGAATTTAACTACAAACAACTCTTCTCTTAAAGGATTAACACAGCAATTAAAGAGGCAAATCATGTTCTGATCTCCCAGCTACTGGCATCTTAAAGCTGAAACTCTTGACTTACAGAGCTATAAATAAAAAGCTTGCTTTGGACATCATCTATGTCAGTACTTAGAGAAGGGAATATGTCTACTTTATCAGATTTGTGACAGTATAAGTTGACTTTGAAATCTGGGCAATCTAAATAGGTCATGAGTTTACTTCTGTAAGCCTGGTACAGAAGCCTCACATAATACAGTTGTAGCAAATAGAAAGTGACCTTTACTCCCTTTGAAATAATTACAAGACTCGGGCTTGGCCTTGCTGTGAAATGGAACATTTTATTCTACTTGCGCAATTCCAGGCACTTTCTTCATCTCAACATGTCAGACAAGATGTTAAATTTGTCACCACACTGAGAGTTTTTAATTAATTATTTTTAAAAGCACAATTATTCTTTTAATTTATTTTTCTCACAAAGAAACTTCTTCTGTTGAACTAAATGTCCATCTCATTAAAATAATTTCTGTTGAGGTTCTTCACTTTGGGGAAGAAAGTCTTTAAAAATACCTAAAAATAGCAGAATACATTCTGAATTTAAGCACCATGTAGATTTCATATTTTTGGATATAATAAAAGGGTTTATGGACGGATAAGCTACCTAAAGAAAGACTTCAGCTAAATACACTGAAAATAACGTTAAAGTGTCATATATGTAGAATTCAGAATATAGAAATATTGTTCACACATCTAGTCAAGTAAGTACTGGGCAATTAGTACAAAAGGATCTTTCACCCACTACTAAGAAAAAAGCTGAATTCTTTAAAGAATATGACAATTATGCAGCAAACATCATTTGCTCATGAATATCTGAAGGGGTAGAAGTCTGAAAAGCAAACCAAGGGAGTCATGACTACTCAGATCTACAGATCCTATATTCACTGACAAGCAGAATCAAGGTTTTTCATAACCTACTGCTTTTCAGAAATGTACAGAGCGAAGACTCATTTTTAATATCCTGACAATTTGTCTTTCTGAATTTATTACCAGTCACTATAAGGAAATGTCACTAGTTCAGATAACTCCTGTGCAGGTTTGGTCACTGGGCTAGAGCTATACTTATGATGAGGTATCGAGCCTATGAAACGCCTTTTTTTTGGTTAATAAAACAGCGCACACATGCTGGTGACCTTGAACGACCCCAACATTTGCACTGAAAGCCGCTCACATAGAACATGGATTGGAAAGCAAAAGAGGATGGTAATTTTATACCATACTGCAGAGGAAATTAATAAAGCCCCTGATGTTAAAGTACCTTCGGGTATTACCACATCTCAAAAACCAGGGTTCCTCTACCTCCTCTGCTGGCAACTGAAAAGTTAGTCTCTGAAATGATCTTACACAGAATTTCAAAATCTTTATATCCTTTTTCACTCGCCCAGTTTCAGCACGTGAAGCAACTCCATTCAGGTTTGATTGGCTACGTCCTCACTCTGCAAATTAATTTTCTCACCTTTTACTGTAAACGCTCTCATATCTTCATTAGCCCTACCTGTACGAGATCAACTTTTATCACAAAAACGCAAGCTTCAGAATATTAACTGCATTTCACAGACATTCTTTGTGGTGTGAAATGCATCCTTGTGCAAGGCTTTATTTAAATAGAGATGTAAATGCAGACACATGTGAAAACCATCTGCCCAGACATGAATTTTACACACAATAAACGCAAACAAATCTCATTTCATAGGGCAGTATTCTATACGACCATATTCTACCTTTGGCTTCAGGAGAGTAATTCAAAATGCAAACAGACCAACATAAAACCCCACAAAAGACGACCTAAAATAGAAATAAAATTTATTTTTAATAACAGTAATAATCTCAAAAGTTCAAGAATTATGAGTCACTTCCTGAGAAATGAGGGGTTTGGTTGGGTGTGGTTTTTTTTTTGTTTGGAGTTTTTGGTGAGGGTTTTTTTGGAAGGATGGTTTGGGGGTTTCTTTTTTATTCATTTGACTCATTTACTTGGAAGTGAGTATTGAAAAATTCACGCTTCCAAGCTTTTCTCTGGAAACACGAGAACTGGAAATTTGCTTTTTGCATATGAAAACTTCAGATTTTCATATAAAATACGGTGATCCTAAAAGCTGAGAACTGAGAGGGGGGGAAAAGTAATCAGAATGAAAACTGCCAACACTGAATTAAATTGCACATGACAAAATACTTTTATCGTGCAGATCAAGATCTTTGAATCGTAAAACCCTTTCTATCTTCAGGTGCTGCAACACTAGACCCACAACAATGGGTAGGGAGTAAGCCATCAGAGAAGAAAAACAAGTAATAAGCAGCACACAGTCACAATGATTTGCAGAGAGATGATGAAATCTTGCCTTCACTGAAGTCAATAAGAACTATTCATTGATTTTAGGTTTTTACTCAAGATTTAAATGAAGGGGTTATTTAAATGAAATTAACAAAGGGATACTTAAACAGAATAAAAAGAGCACTGCTTTAAGTAAGGTTCTGGTTCTG